TCGTATTTACTTTCTCGCAACAACAAAAAAAATAAAAAAATACAGATCGTAAATTTTCGCAATCAACCTTGTCGTTTCGCACAACAAAGATATATATCTTTTCAATTTTACGGGAGAAAAAAAAAGAGGTTGTTTTCAATCAAACTTGTCATTGAAGATGGTTTCAACAAAAATAAATATTTTTAAATTTTTTTACAGGAGGAAAAATTTGTTTCTATACGGAGAGAGATAGAAAAACTAAACATCCGATCTAGATTTTCGAACGGAATTTCATTTGAATCGCAATATGCAACAATTGTTTTTGTACTTATTTGTTAAAAATTATTTCGCACGTACATCCGGCGTTTGCTCTTACTGGCTTTATTATTTTTTCTTATACAGTCGAACAAGAGAGAGATGTACGATCTGTACAATTTTACATATTTGTTAAAAACACATGCACACACGGATGCATAGAACTCGTGAGTAACGGAAGAATTTCCGCAATTTTTGTGAGGAACGACTAAGGATTATAACTGATAAAAAATTACTAAAAAAAAAAAAAAAAAATTGCCAGCAAATATCGACGAATATCGCGAAGATTGACAACGCGAAGAAAGCTAGCGCGACCGCGAAGCGCGCAGACGAGCAGACGTATCCACCCACGATGTAGCGTACTGTAACGAGGCTACAGTCCATTAAGTGCGTACGGCTATTATGGCTAATGCATTACGAAGCGATAAAAAACGGGAACTATAGCGCAGTGCTCTCCGGCTGCTCGCGCTCGCGCTCGCGCCCGCGCCCGCGCGCGCACACTCGAGAGAACCGGACCACATTCCATGTCGGACGAGAGTACGAACGCCGCTGCTCGATGCATCGTTCGGAGTACAACGCTCGTAGATACGTCGGGACGACACGCGCACACATTGCAAAACGCATCCAGATCCACCGTATCCGCGACGTTTGGTCGGTGATGTGCGTTCAAAATTCACGCGACATCTTCACGTTGTTTCGGCTTAAACACTTTTAAATTTGTTACTCTCATCTCGCGTCGCAACACACTCATCTATTTGGTGAAATAAAACTTATTGTTACTTTTCTTTGTTTTTGAATTTTTAACAATAAGTTCCTTTTGTGTAAAATAAACATTACGTGTGTCTTTAGACTTTTTATTTTTTTTTGCAGTTTTGTACCTCTTCTGGCTTTCAATTTTTTAATCCACGACGCGCGAAGCAGATGACAGAGAAAGCAGCGCTGCTACGAAAGATTTTTACGTCAAGATCGCATCTGGTTTTATCTGGTTATCCCGTAAATACAATAAGAAGAGAGCGGGTGTAAGGGGAAAACGGTGAGAAGAGAATTTAGACGCGGAAACGATAGGGTGTAGCGGTACGCGGGTAAAAAAAAAAAGAAAAAAAGAAACGGCAACCCTTTTCTCTCTTGTATCCCTCGCACGGAACCACGGAAACTACCTTGGAAATTCGACTCTAAAAATATTTCGTCTTATGGAGTTTCTCCGGTTTTTTCGGCCGCGTTTTACTCCCTCTCCTAACGCCCGACTCTTTTTTTTGTCTTCCCACCCTCGGGAGAGACGCGCATCAACCATATGGCCCGCGAGGGAGAGATAAAAAATTCATATTTTCACTAGAAGGGCTGAGACTCACAAGCGCAAGATATTTTTAAACTTCACGAGTGCTTCAAAAGAGCATTCAACTTTCGTTTGTCCGTTCATTCTCTTCGGGTTTCCATAAATCCTTTCGTGTCACTAGGTCTTAATTGTCAAGACGACGAAAGAAGACGTAAGAGAGAAAGACAAAAGAAAACGATAATTTCGACGAACCGAATTTTCACACATTACTGTATTATATATATAAAACGAACTGGATGTTTGTTACTACGCATAAATAAATATTTTTCTCCGTGTATATATTTTATACAAAAAATTAACGTCAATTGTTTTTTTTTGTCTCTGTATAAAAATCGCTTTAACTCCGTGTTTTTATCTTTTATCGAAACGATAATATATCAAACGACGAATGAAGCCGGATGCCGAGCGATAACTGAGATCAAAAATAGCTTTTCCATTATTTCCCGAACGATCGGTGCGGTCTTCCGTTATTAAAGGGTTTCTTTAGGCTAATGGTTTTCTCACACGGGAGATCCCCGAAAGAAACGGTAAAAACTCCCTCTTTCACAAATATATCGAAACCCCTTTCGGAAGCCGCACGAAGGTACGAGAGCGCGTTAAATCATTGGCACCGCGTATTACGCAAACTCACGAGGTCCCGTAATATTTTCCAATAATACCTGGAAACGCGATACTTTATTGGCGGATTAAAGGAGGACCTTTTTAAGAAAACGTTGAGAGAAAAATAGAGAGACGAAGAGAGGATGTGACCCGAGCCACATTCTGACCCATTTTCGAAGGGTTCCGCTTCAACCCTTTCGGGGGGGGGGGGACCTAACGGGACGCCGCAACTTTTTTTCCCACATTCTACTTTTCCGAAACTCGACTACCTGATCATCAACTGCGAGATTTAAACGGGTCTATTTCGTAATATAGAAAAAGGGTTTTGCCACCCTTTCTGTATTTCGGAACTTTGGTTTTTTTTTCTTTACCGAGAGAGAGTAAGAAATATATATGACGAGGGGTTGTTTTTCGTCATTATGATTGTGCGACAAGTTTCATAAATTTCTAAATAAGGTTTTTATTTTGTTACAGCACTTGAATAGTGTAGCAAATAATCAGATAACGCGGTAGATTGATTGAATTAAGAAAATAAAGCAATTTATATTTAACACATAAAAAGAAACGATACTTGGAATAATAAATTTTTTCACTAAATAAGGAGATAATTCATGTGGAATTTCCGTAAATTGATTGCGTACCGCTGATTACGAAGGAGGAAATATAGAAGTAATACAAAATACGAACAGAACGATAATTGTGATAAATGAGCGCGTTAAGACATCAAAAGGCAACGGAGAAACGTTCACACGGCGGACTATAATCACGTGAATCAGGCCCATTTTCGTTCATGACTCTCTTTTCAAGCTTTAATCATCCTTAATCCCCGTTACAAGCTACCCGCACGATGTAAATAGCTCGGAAATGTCAATCTAAAACTTGGAAGGGATATTAATGTCGCGATGTATCAGAAACGTAACGGGAATAACAAGTGCCAGAAGAAAAACTTCTGAAAAACAGATGCGCGTTATCTTCTAATACTTCTTTTTTTTTCACAAGAAAAAAGAAACCAACTTCGTGGAAGAGCGATAGTCTTGGGTAATGTAATAAAAAAACCCCAAAAAACGAAACGTTGACAATTTATGTGGCCATGTAACTTGAAAATATACTACGTGTTCCAATTTAAAGAACTTGGAAGAAATTGGATACTGAAAATCCCCTGAAAAGCTTCAGAGTTTTCGGTCTTATTTTCGACAAATAAGCGTTGTTCTCCCCCATAGCTTTTGATCACATCCAATTTCTGCGACGCCATAGCATCCCTCGTTTTCTCTCAATTAGCGCGACGACTTCCATAGAAACCCCGAATAATCGTCACCCCTGCGTAACGCATCGGCGATAAGCATCGACGGCATCACAAGGACCTTTACGGGGTAAAAAGTGGGAGTGTCCTTCGAGGGCACTCGAGTGACGTCATTGGTCGGTGGAAACGTCGTGCGCAAAGTGAAGTGGCGATTTTGCACAGGGGTGGAAAATTAATGTTCTCTCTCTCTTTCTCTTTCCAAAATCCTTTTTCCTTTCATGTCGTGTAAAAAATGTTTAAAAATAACAACTTGTTTCTGTATGTATCAAATTTTTAATCTTTTTACAAAAAAACGATTAAGATAACAACTATTATCAAACTAAATGGATAAGTATTAAAAAAAAATTCCGTTATTAGTAAAAACATAATGTAACTATTTATATATATTTATTCAAAATTTCATTTTCAAAATATTTTTAAAAAAACTGCCAAACACTAACAACAAAAGGTGATTCTTTCAATACCAAGTTGTCCATGATGACACAAATGCTTGTGAGGATTATTATTCCAATAATTTACATTGTCACTCTCGTTATACGTCACTTCGCATGACAATAGAAGTTATTTACCTAATACTCCAAGAGGATTCTGTTACTGTTCCCGACAGTAAAAGGGTCAACGTTCTCCAACGAAACCACCCCCACAAGGCCCACCTATCCACGCGCGCGTGTAAGGGCGTTTCACGACGGTAGCATGCGAAGCGGTGCGCGCTACTCGCCAGCCGGTGGACGAATGCATGCGACAGCGGTCGAAGAACGGAAGAAGAGGAAGGAGTTGCTCGGCGGTGGCAGAAACTCCGTCTCTTTGCCCCCGTCATCGTCGTCGTAGCCGTGTGGCGGTGCCGCGCGACGACAACGACGCCGGGGGCCGACGGGGGAAAGGAGGCAGAGACGCGTATCGTCGGGGGTGGGAGGCGGTAGAACGCCGAGCGAAGGCGGGGAGAATGCGACGCGTCACTGCGCCCGACGGGGTGGGGCATCCCACAGACGACGGGCTGGTGGGGGCCCCCGAAGTCTTTCTCCGTCCGGTGAAAGAGAGGACAGAAGGGGAGAGCAGCGTATATTTGCCCCCTCTTTCCCCCTCCCCGCTCTCTCTGTCTGTTACCCTTTGGAGGGGTTCAGTCATCTCGCGCCAGCCGAGCCACGCGCACTCTCTTCTCTGATATCCCGGGCTCGCTTGGAGAACCACCGGAAAACCACCCCGAGATTCTGCGTGCGGCAGCGGCGAGATATCGTCATTATCATTGCGAGGGTGGTGGTGTCCCACACGTCTGCCGCCAGGGGGTGGCGGTGGAGAACGGCGTGGTGAACGAATTCGCGCGGGCTCGAAAGAAAGAACGCGCAAAGCGAACCGCCCTCTCGGGACTCGGAAAGACCACCCCCACTTCTTCCCCCTCTCGATCGGACCCGCGCGCGCGCGAGCGCGCACCTCCCTCCTCGTCGCGGATGCTTAGACAACTTCGGGAATCGAAGACACACGGGTACCGAGGTTCATGGGTGGAGAATCCGCGCGGGTCCTACGCGATCGACCTCCCGTAAGACGAGAATTCGTCGGGACGAATATAGTTTTCCGAGTACCATGATAACGCCTATAACACGCCCGGAAACGACCTACTTTTTCATGGATTCTGGTAACTATTTGATTCCGAAACGCGTTGATTAAGTGTACGCAGTGTTTTGTTATCGACGAAACTGTCATCTCGTTCAACTTTCGCAATAAACGTCGTCCGATCGTTCTCTTCTTACCCCTCTTACCCCTCACATCCTAACAGAACAAATGCTTGAGTTTGAAATTCGTAATGACTTGCGGTGAAAAAATCAGACTGGAGCAGTGCACCATGAAAATTGGCGGTCGGGACAAAAATCAGTGGTGGTTGGTCGGGAGAACCACCAGTCGCTCGAGCTGAGGCCGAGAATGTTTGAGAGATCATTCGAATGTTTTACCAAAATTAAGAGGATCTTGAGTGACGTTGGTGGTTCAGGGTGACACTACGTGTGTTCGACGACGGTGGAAGTGATCTCAGTGGGCGATTCAAGAAAAGAACGAAGCTAAGTGCGTGCTTCATGTTTTTCGCGAGACAACGAAGACCTATTTCAAAAATTATGAAGAGCTTTAAGTGACCTATATATCTATTGATGATGATAAAGATGATGACGATGACGATAAATCCAAGCGACAAATCCAAAAACTCGAATCTTCGGTGTGAGTGATCGCGATCGCAAGAAGTTTTCGAATTTTTGGTGCGCGAGCAATTGAATTGTCTCGTTTTATATTATATTTGATTGTTTTAAAGTGAACGCGCGGACCCCGGGATGATCGGTGTGGATAATCGATAACTTTGTGAAACCAATTTGTCGATAGACACGCACGTCTGAACTATGATGATGTCGACGGGAGTGATACGTGGGAAGAACGGAGATAGTAACTAGAGAAAAAGAGGTAAAAAAAAAAAAAAAATTATTGCATAAGTCGATGTAGCGTTTTAACTCGTAAGAGAAATCGCGCTGAAAAAGTTTGGGCTTGTTAGCTCTCTCTCTTTCTCTCTTTCTCTCGTGTTGAGATATTCATATTTTTACACCTTTTTGAGATAAAATTGCACATGAGAAAGAAAACTATATATATCCCTTCGCTTTATTTATCCGCCGCGATTGAAAAAATAGAGAACATTTTGAGGGAAAACCTATTGAAATAATATTTTGTTCAAAGTGAATAAACGCGAATAAAAATTCTTCTGCTTCAAAACGAGTAAAGTAAAATTTACTTAATGACGTATTATCGAGGTTACCCCAATATACGTTTGAAATAACAGAAATAATAAATCAGTAATTTTTCAACGCACGGTGTTTGCTTGAATATTTCTCAAACCTGATGTTCCGCAACGATTCGCGTAAAAAAAAAAAAAAAAAAAAGAAAACTATCATCGGAATTACTTAAATTACTGTGTATTATTGATGGGACTTACTCTGTAATATTCAAGTGCGTATTAACGAATTATGAATCAGCGGTTTGCTCCTTCTGATGCGATATATCGACGTTGGCGTACATTAATCATAGTTGTCAGTCGATTTCACATCGCGTTTCATTCCGCGTCGAATCGAGCCGACGAGACGCTTCTCTGTCGTTTGTGAAAATTTGGTCGATTTCGTTTATTTTTCCCGTTTCCGCATTTTACCATTTTGCGCCATTTGCAAAAGCCGACAAAGCCGTTCGTAAATTCGTTTATTTCGAAATAAAACATCAAGCGAGAGCAAAGGCGTTTAAAATTATGTCACAACCAGTTGACCAGTAAGTCTTACGCGCGAGCGAGAGATGTAAAAAGAAGCTCTCTGGCATCACACGAGCGAGCGATTCCCTGAACTTTCGCGACAAGCGTTTCGAGAGAACGAAATTAGATTAGGTGAATTGTTCCTGACGATTCTGCGGAATTTTGTCGCGCAAAAATCCGCGCCAACACGAATTCGGCCGAGTTTTACGTTCGACTGCAGATCGATTTGGCAGAACTTGCACGACGAGCCGTCCAAAAACCGGTGCAGTCTCGCTCCAACTGCGCTTCACAGTTTCACGTTTGTTTAGTCCTCGAGAGAACGAAGAGACACTTTTTCGACTTGCTCCGTCCGTAATATTATACTCCTAATAACGTATTTTACGCTAACGTGACGTTAAATCGCGCATCGGCCAACTCCAACTAACAGTTTCGACACGAAAATTGTGCTTTGAATGACCGTCGACCTTCCCGTAGATATTTGACCCGGATCTCTCTTCCCGATAGGACGAGAAGTGGATTTTTTTTTTTTTTTTTTTAACGCTACTACTTTCCATTGAGAGATTAAATCATTTCTTTTCATGCGTTTGTGTTGTTTATTTTTTCTCACGGAAATATATTTTTTTCTTATGAAAAGATTTTTTTCTTTTTATGGAAATATATTTTTTTCTTATGGAAATTTCTCCAACGTCTAATTTGCGTTCGACATGTTGTTTTTCCAGCGACAAAACTTGCTGTCGCTCAAACGCGTCACGGGTGCGCAATTTCGCTCTCGCGCTGAAAAAAAAAAAAAAGAGAAAAAAACCGGCACTCTCGTTTGATCTGCAAATACTTAATCGCGTCGGATTTACGATATGATTTATCAGGATTTTATCGGGATTACTCTGGTTTCACGTGTGTACAAACGCTAATCAAACACGCGATATTTCGGAGGCCTTCCGCTCGTATTACGTTATATCGTTATTGCTTTGCGGCAAAAATCCTTCTGTAGAAAAAAAAAAATCCTTTTATTATCTCGATTTATCATCACGTGACGCGAAACAATTTGAGACGAAGCGTTTCGAGTTGCAGCGAACAATCGAAAGAAAAGATTCGCGCGAATCGGTCGATAATTGAGGAAGATGCGAAAAAAAACAAAAGACAACCGGAGTGAGAGTGAAAGTGAGAGTGAGAGAGAGAGAGAGAGGAGCGCAAGGAAGAAATGAAGAAATATCAGGAAAAGACAGAATAGAAATTGAGAAAAGAGAAGAAACGGAGAACGGAGAGGGGACGAGCGAGCAATCGCGCGCGTCGTGATATACGTCGCGGGATATATCTGCAAAAGAAGGAAAGGACGAAACAGGAGGATAGGGAGAAAGCAAAGAAAAGGGAGAAACGCGATTGCGAACGGCGAGATCCTCGGAAGAGAGGGAAGAAAACCACGAAACAATTGGAGAAGCGGAGGCGGCCGCATTTCATGTTGGCTGGCATCGGCTCCCTTTAAAGAGTCTCTTGCTTTTTGTTAGCTCTTCGAAAATTATGATTGTTTGTCCGCGAGATTTACTGCTCGGAGGCTCCCTCGACGCGCCGTATATATATATATATATATATATATATGTGTGTGTGTGTGTGTGTGCGCAAGACGCCCTCGAGGGGCACCACGATCTTTCGCTAGACCGCGAAAGATCGCGTCTCTTTCTCGGGCGAGAGAAGTCGGAAGAGAGAGGAGAGAGGACGACACCCAGAGCGCGCGGAGGTTTACCGAGATTAAAGAATCAGGAATTTACAGCACTCGCGCTACCAAGCTGGAGCTCCGCGCGCGCGCGCGCGATTGTTTTCTTTTCTCTCTCGCACGGTCTCGCGCGAATCTCCTTGAGCTCGCGCTTATCTCTCGTTAAGGATTTGTTAAATTAGCCGTTGTTTGGATTAAGAGATTGCGCTTTGAGTCGAAAAACTCCTCCGCCCGGCTCTCTCGCGGCGACTCGCCAAACAACACACGAGGAAAAAAAACTCGCGCGACCGCGGGAGAGCTCGTATTTTAATGCGCGTCGTCTGGATAAACGAGAAATTATATTAGAGAGAGGTAAATGGGGGAGAAGGAAAGTACGTTTTGATTTGTTTTCGATTGTCCCCGCGCAATTGCTTTGTACTAACACAACATATATATATATATATATATATATACATATGTGATTCCAATCAATCGGTGCTATACTATATCGCGCGCACGGTTATTATCGCTTATGCGCCTACAGTCGATATATACGTAAGCTCATATTGTATTTGATCAATCATGAAATTTTTACTCGCAACGCGGATTGCGCGCGATTTCGCGCGAGGGAAATTTTAAATTAAAATTTGAAAAAACGCGCGCACACGCGTCTATTATTTTACTGTATCGGAAATTTATTAAGTTAAGTGTACAGATGAAATTTAAAAGAGCGTTCGCGTTGTCAGAGATTTGCACACGCGCGCGCAACAGTTTTCCCGGACAGATTCCTCTCTTTCTCTCTCTCTCTCTCGGTCTGATGATTGCGACTCCGAATCTTGGACCGCAACGCATATTCCAGGAGAGACACCTGTTGCCGTATTCGAACCTCCTCGTCGACTTCGCGCCGCGCCGCGACTTTCCCCCCACGAAGAATCCCTCTCTCTCCCTCCGACCCTCTCTTTTACGTCGGTCGCGATGGATTTTTGTACGAGATGATTTCGTCCGAGATCTCTCCGCTCCCGACACTCTCGGTCGCGAGAACATCCGGACTGATTTATTCGGGATCTTATTGCGGCTTGTGGCCGAGCCGAAGAGAGAGAGAGAGACGACCAAAACGGCGCGACTCCAAAAAGCGATTCCACCTCAGGCGCGTCGGCGCGGCGATCGCTCTATAAATTTCACGAGTCTTTCGAACCCTATATTTTCTCGTTATCCTCGCGTTTTGCACGACACGTTTTATTAAAGTACGATAATTTTACGAGGGTCGGCCGTCCTCTCCCGTCCCGTCTCTCTCTCCTCCGAGGATCCCCGCCCTCTTTTTCTTCCACGCTTCGCGACCGCGTCTCGTCTGCTTTTTGTTTACAGTATCTTTACCGGAATTAGAGACTTTATTTTTGTGAACTTACTCCCGTTTTGATTTTTTTTTCTTTTTCGCGATTTGACGCGATACGTCATCTAAGTGTCGCGTTAATTTTGTTGATTACCGCGCGAAGTGTTGAGTCGTCGAAATTTTTGAGCGTTTAATTGCACGTGAATTTTTATCTCATGTGTATCTGATATAAACATATATACGATGCTAATTAAGACCATACGTCGTGATACGACAGCGAAACGCGAAGACGGTGACGCGTGATACGTCGATGAAAACGCGGGTACACGATATAATCTTCTTGTGCTTTTAATAACGCTCACACTACTCTCTCTCTCTCTCTCCCTCTCTTGTGCGCGCGCGCGAGTAATATATTCAATTTTATACTCGCACGTGGCTTTGTTATCTACGATGCAAATGTATGTATGGTGTTAATTACGGTGATATCACCGTGGATCTCGAAGTATTTTTCTTATGTTTAATATAAATATGCGCACGCGCATACACACACACACACACACACACACATATATATATATATATATACGGCGCGCACGCGCAATTAAAACGAAACGGAGTGTAATTAAGGATGATGTGTAAGAAGATGAAAGAAACCAAAAAAGAAAAAAAGAAAAAACATAGAACGCGCGCAACACTCTATAGCGCGGATCGAAAAACGGAAGGAAGAAAGAGTATCGGATTTAATTTAAACCTTCGTGATTTTTTTACTCCGCTCGCGCTCTCTCTAGTGTTTTAAACTGAAAAATAACCAACCGCGTTTTAATTGCGGGAGTATAGCATAGCCCGCGAAACGGTCTCGGTGCATCGTACTCATCGTCTCGTCGTCGACTCCTCGCTCGTGTATCCCGACTGCGCCGCTCCGAGGCACAGCAGTAAAAGGCCTAAAGTTTTTAATACTTTCAGTTGTTTTTATGGCGGCTGGCATTTGCTCTTTTTTATTGTTTCCCTCTTCTCTTCCCGCTCTTATTCTCTCTCTCTTTTGCTTTCTTACTGAAACGCGTATGTGAGAGTCCGAATGTATCGAAAGGGGAGAGAGAGAGAGAGAGAGAGAAAGGGAGAGAAAGGAGGAGACTCACAGTCAGCCCTCTCTGATGTAC